GAGGGAAGCCTGCTTCTCCCTCTTCCACTCCTCCTGCTTGTGTTCCCTCTCTTGCTGTGTCTCTCTCTGTCAAATAAATAAAATGAAATCTTAAAAAAAAAAAAAAAGGCTAAGGAGAAGGTCAATTTGAGGTTCTTTTTGCTGGACTCCATTCTTTTTTCAGTGGCTTGTAACCCAAGAGCTATTGTGCAAGGTGTCTTTCTTCCCTGTGCAGATGTTCACTCTACTCCTTTTCAGTCAGCATGTTTCCTGGTCTTACATAACCTCAGCTAACACCATGCTGGGAATTGTTATAATCTTTCCCTTGAGAAGGCTCTGTTGCCTACAATGAGGAAAATTCTTAATGACCACTTTACTCAATATTTTCAATATGTTTTAATATGATTACTGATATGAAAGTTTAATAAGCAATATCCTGGTTAATTTATTAATTTCCCTCAATTTTCACATTCTCAATATTCATGACCTTTCTATTCATAAAAGTACATTTTTTTTTTCCAGCACCCAGGTGCCATGCCGCATTCTCTGTATCTCAGGCTGTGTAATGGGAATGTTCAAGTGATAGCTCCTGCCTGGCTGGTTGATAATTAAAATGCCAGACAACATAGTGGCAAGGGCTTTAGAAATATTTATGTGAGATAAATTATTAATTTATGTTGTATTCAAGACAGTTTCAATATGATAAACATTTACTTATCTTGATAATTAGATAAGGTGGTTTGTGGTGTCAATTATGCCATAGATTTTCTTATGATTTCCTCCCCCCGCATGATGATTTTCAGCTAACTAAATAAATTCACTCTACATTCATGAGCCTGCGGAATTTGGACTATATTTTGTAAAATTCCAGCTTAAATAGTGAAGAGCACATAAATAACCAAAATGAAAAAGACTCAACAAAACAACTAAAACTCTTTTTGTGCTCACCAGTTAGCCACTTGTTGTTGAAAATGTCTGATGTAAAAAGAATCTGCTTTGGGACCATGGCTACACAGATGAGACTTTAAGTAAATAATTTAGAACAGTGTTTCCATTCTCTGGGGCAATACATGGAGGCAGCAGTGGCCACCTTGTTGGTTTGAGACTTTATCTTCAATTAGGCAAATGAAACAGAGGCAACAATATATTCCACCAGCCCCCTCAAAATACAAACACTGTGTCTCATTCACTTCAGAAATGATGCTGATGAGCAGTCATTTACAAGGATGCTCTGTCTTGATTTTTCTTAGAGATGGATTCATTTCTCTCTAAGATTGTCCAACATGTAAAAAATGTAGGGGAAGGAACTCCACAATTTCTGTGTGGGGAAAAAAATAAAGTGAACCAAGCCAAACAAGAAACAAGTAAAAGACCTCTGTGCTTCGGAATAATTTTTTTTATTGATTAGGAATGAACAAACTTGCTCTTTTGAACCTGGTCCATTAGAACAATAGTTTCTGTTATTTCACCATTTTGTATGTAAGAGCTTCACTATAATGGACTCCACTTGCAAAAATAATTTCACAGAAGAATACTTTTTACAAATTTTGCCTTTGAGATACTGTAAGTATAATTGTCATAACTAGCATAAGGAATATATCCATGCAGACACCCCTAAAATTCCTCCAAATTTGGTAGTCTGAGATTTATTAAAATGCTAAAGTTGCTTATGCTAGAGAGAGAAGGGGAAAGAAGGAGGAGGAGGGGACCAACTCATCCCATATGTGCAGAGTTCATTATTAAAGAAAGCTCAGAAAATATCAGTCTTAGTGTCTTATTGGTATTGATTTTAAATCCACTTCCCTCTTGCCTTTCTACATATTAATTTGGAGATTTTTATCTTAGGACAAATTCATTATTAATATTTCAAGTTGCTTAATGCAATTGGAAAGTAGGATAACTTAAGGCAGAACTGACTTTTAATACCAAAAAAGGAATCCATACCTAGATTGTATAACATTTTCTGGAAGGCAAATGTCTCTTGCTTCTAAAAGCATGATAAGAAATCTGGATTTTCTTACAATCATTTTACAGGATATAGTATTTTCACATATACGTCCTACCTTTTCCTTTCTTTGGGCATGCATGCCCACAGACACACGTTTGTTAACATTTCTTCTAGCTTCATTGTATGGCATATTTTATTCTTATTTGCAAAGACTTCTCTAATCAAAGCAACATGACACCCATGTTTCAGAACTATCATGTGGCATACTACTTGTAGATTGCTTATAAATTGTCTTACATGATATTTTGAGTGGTGATTACCTCCTTGGAGTGCTGATAGTCGAGTGATGCACATTCTTGTGACATTTGCTTCACTACATTATAATGCATTACTTATTTTTAAAAATTCCCTATCTTACCCTGAAGATTTCTGCCCAACCAGAGGTTGTATATTCTTCTTGCATCTAACACCTTTTTATATTTAAGCTGTATTTTACAAACCTGATAGTGTTTTCTTTGCATTAACATTCCCCTCAGTGGAAATGTCTTTGGCATCTACTTTTCACGATTTGGAGTTGCCCCATGTGTTCTAAAATACAGAGGTTAACATTTTAGCTCTTCCTGGAGGATAATGCTAGACTCTGGTCTCATACTGCCCTGAGAAGAGATGCCCTGAGTTGGAAGCGTAAAGTGATGCCTCTGTGTGATAATCTAACAAGAGTGCAGAATAGACATGGTTTAGCTTTTGCCCAAATTACTTCTGTGTTCCAGCCCTTTTCTTGAGTGCATACTACTTTTCTCTAGACTCGTCAACATTTTCCTTTTCTTTGTGAGTTCCCTGCCATCAGAACACATGAAAACACTAGCTTCCTATTTAAAGCTTTCTATATGGATGAGTCACATATTCAGAAATTATCTGAGCCTATACATGGCATTCTCTGATGTGTGCTCTGATCCCTCACCAGATGTGACAGTATTTCCATTGCTTTAATGGTGGGATTAGAGCTTCTTCGTCCGGGGGGCAGAAGAAAGGTTTGGGTGCCCTCAGGTACATATATAAGGATACCGATTATGTATGTGGATTGGGAAGCTATCAGAGGGTTAACACAAGTTATGGCCATTTGCTTTGGTCTTTTTTTTTTTTTTGCCATGAGAAACATCTATATTGAAAACAGTGACCGGTCACACAGAAATTCAGCCAAACTTTTTTTTTTTTTTTTAAGTCGATGTAAATCTCCCATGCTGTTTAAATGTCGGAACTAAATTTACCAAACTTGGCAGATTTGTAAAGCTGTAAAGGACTGCCAAGTGTTCCCAGTTTCAAGCAGAGAGAGTTCTAACAGTTCCTGAAATACTTGTAGGAGGCACCTGGTGGTAACTGCAGTTTCACAAGGCTTCCGAGCGCCTACCTTGCTAGCTGGCATCTCTGTATGCTGACGATTATTACAGTGATGATAAAGTGTCAGAATAGAACAGTCCAGAATAAGGCACAGCCCTGGAAGGCAAGCACATTCCCACAAAATCTTCCTGCTGGAGAACCCTCAGCAATTAGACTGAGGTTCTTGACATCACAGCCAGCTGGTTACACCAAACAAATAAAGGGGGAGGGGGGCAGATGATGGAAACCACACACATACCTGCAGATATGACTTAGCCTGTTTTTTTTTTTCCATTTAATCAGGGATTGTTGTCTGAGATTTTGCGTAAGGAAGAAGACCCTCGGACAGCCTCTCAGTCTCTTTTAGTAAACTTGAGGGCCATGCAGAATTTCCTCAATCTGCCGGAAGTGGAGCGGGATCGCATATACCAGGACGAGAGAGAGCGGAGCATGAACCCCAATGTGAGCATGGTCTCATCAGCCTCTAGCAGTCCCAGCTCCTCCCGAACCCCTCAGGTGAGATATTTGCTCCACTGACTTTTCACTCTTGGCCTTGGAAACATCTTGCCTTCACTGAATCTGTGTTTCTCTCAAAAACTAAGAGACTTAATTCAAGGATTTCTTGCTTCACTGATCATGTTGGTCAGAGGATGTGAACCTCTGACCATGTAATAGTAGTTATCCTTTACTGTGTCATATGGTATTCCTGTCCCTTTAGAAAAGAACCATTCTTCCACACAGAAGGGGCAGGAGTGGGTGGATGGGTAGGCTCTAGAATGTTTGCACACAGCTGCTTAGTTATCTAAGATGGGGCCAGGGGATTTGAATTGAAGCTGAGTTTGCATAGCAAGGACACTGCTTTTCCTTAAACTGTATATTTATTTGGATACTGGGCAGGGAGGGGGGTTGGGAGGTGTTGGTTAGGGTTGGGGGCAGGGGACAAGTAGAGTAATCCAAACTCTTCTTTATGCAATCTGAAAAAAGACAAAATGGGGGAGAAATCTCTGTGTGGTGGAAGCATGTATGTGCAGTGGCTGGATCAGAATGTTTGGGAGATCATTCAGTGATCCCTTAGAACACAGTAGTAGTGGAAAGTAGGCCTTAATGATTTTCCTTCCTAGGGTCATCCTCCCTACAGAACTTGATGAATAAGCTTTCCTTCCCTCCTTTTTCCGCACTTTAAAAGCATTCTGATCTGGTCTTCCTGCAAATGCATTACATACATCTAGTAATGCTGTGTGCTTCAAAGATCCTAACTTTATAAAGGGGTCAAGGTCTCAAGTCAGCCAAACGATCTTTCCAGTTCACATCTGAGCCCATTCATTTATAGCCTACTTTCTATTTCCCCCAAACTCTTATTAGCCAATAGATTTATGATAAAGCCATCTCATTCACTGTTGCTAGGATGCCTGCAAGTTATATCTCAAAACAAATGTTTAACAGGTACACATTTGTACAAATCAGAAAAATGGGTAGTTTGAAACTAAAGTTTTTGTTTTTGTTTGTGTAGATACCATGATTTTGGTGTTATGAGTGTTTTCTAATAAGTTCCAAGGAACTGATTAAACATAGAAACAGAATTTTATTCTAATAGAAATATTTGAGCTTTTTCAAGTACATCCATTTTTTTCACACATCATAACTTTTTTTTGCTCTGCAATAGATTTTTAACTGAAGATCATTTTCTATCATGCAGTGCCAAATTGTGATACTTACATTTTAGTCTTTGGTGAATTATGGGTTTTAGTTACTGTTAAACCAAAAATAAGTCTCTTGATTGCATTGCTTACTTTGGATGAATGTAACCAAGCTTTTTTCTTTTTATTTATTTTTTTAAAATCTTGGGGCATACATATTGAGCTATTGAGTTGGACGAGTTGTTAATTTGCACTAAGATTTACTTCTATTAAATTCACCAATAATTTTGCCACTTTTGAAGCTCAATAAATCATTATAGAGAGTCCAGCCATACTTTATGGCCATTTAACCAACTCAGAAAGTCACTTCTACTTGTTAGAAAATAACTTAGGTCTTGGTGGTTCATTTTCTGCTTCTTTGTAATATTTTTCTAGTGTGATTATTTCTTAGACACCTTTTCAAAGACCTGATAGTTTTCAGAGTCAAAGCAGTTTACCAGGGAAAACAGGGTCAGTATTTTGCTTTATTGAATAGCAGAAAAATCTCATCTAGAAAATTCCTACGTAGAAGTGCCCTTTACGGACAAGAATAACAGGGAAATTGATCATTTAATTTCACAGTTTTGAGATTTCTGAAAATAGATATAAAATCTTTTTGAGAGTGTAGTCATATCACTGGCATTTGTACATTCTCTGGAACTTTCTTCTTTTTCTGTTAGTTAAACATTGAGAAAAGGAAGTTATTAAAGTCTTTTAAAACATTTTCTGATTACATTCTATTCAAACTTCTTTACATACATATCTCAGTAGTAAAGATCCTTAGTAAAGCTTTGGTTGTGAGAACAAATGTGAGAGGAGCATCCACTGATGAAGCTTTTAGTTGGAGCCAACATTCTAGAACACCCAGGCAGCCTATGTAGGTTGATGGAGAGCATTTCCCAGACCCCATCAACACTTTATTATTGGTTCAAAACAAATGGAAGAAATCTAAAAATGTTAAATTAAACCTTCAGAGGCCCTTCTCATAATCTTTGAGTGGGCCAGTATTTCTTGATGTACTCAACAACGACAAAACAACAATATAAAGATAAGAATGATCATTTATTGAGCACTTGCTGTGTATCAGGTACTGTGAGCATTTTGCATGAATTCAGTCCTCACCATTTTGTGTGGTTATTCCCATTTTATAGATGAGAAAACTGAGGTTTTGGTGGGTTAAATAACTGGTGTAAGGTTGCATGACTGAGTTGCAGAGCTACGGTTTGAACTCTGGTTATTTTGATTACAAGGCATGGGCTCCTAACCATATATTATAGTGCCTTGAGGGGTTCTGTTTTAGCCCTGAGGGTTCTAGAGAAGATTTGACCAGTCAAGTAAGATGAAATACTCAGTGAGGCTAATGAAGAAATTTCAGTTGAGAAAGGTGGGATTGATATGCTAAAATAAGCACTTAACAGGAAAAGCACTGTGGATTAACTAGAAATTTTGAGAAGATAAAGGACTTTCTTTAAAAAAAAAAAATGACAGAAAATTGGATTATTATGAGAAGACCCCAAACTAGAAGGCAAGAAGATGTTTGCATCTTCTTTAGCACCCAGCCTAAACTGGAGATTTTGGAGATAGGATAGTGCATTATCCTGAGCCAATGCTCTGGAGCCAAAAGCACTTTAATTCAGATCATGGTTCTGTCACTTGCTGCTGCATGTCCTTCCAGCAGGTTGAGTATCCTCTTTTCTTTTCAGTTGTCTTCTTCAGTAAAATGAAAATAATAAAGTCCAACTTACCAGGTTCCTCAAAGAATTAAATGAAATAACAAAAGTAAAACACTTTCTGGAGTGCCTGGCAAATGAAAAGTACCACATACAATATAGTTATTATTATTCTGTGGTAATTAGAAAATAGTAGGGGGCAGGGAGAGAGGAGAATGCAAAAGTCAGTGAGCGCTCTCAAGAACGAAAGCTTGCAGAGAAACTTGGGATATTCATGCCGGCTTCAAGGTGCCATGGAGCATGATCCCACAGTGTTCAGGCTGCATGCTGTGTCTTTCTCCAGATCCGCAGGCTGCTTCCTCAGTGGGGGAATAGCTCAGGGCATCCGAAGAGGGAAAGTAATGATTTGGTGACAACTGCCTTGTTTTGGGATTCTAGGGCGAGTGGAGACCGAAAAATACCCAGTTTAGTTCAAATCAGCCAGGTGTGCCCAGGAACCAAAAATCAGGGGTGACTTTTCTTGCAGTCCTGCGGCCGGGCGTTCTGAGAAGTCTTCCCAGCCCCCTCTCATTACACACCAGAGTAAATGCTCCTGACAGTCTTTTGGATCATGGAGATGCAAATGTTTTAGGGTTATCTTAACCCCAAGAAGTACAGACACCTTCTAGATTGTCCTTCATTTGTCTCTGAAGCTGATGGGAGATCATTCAATTAAAACGAGCACAGCAGAATACATAAAACCACAATATGAGTTTAAGGAAATGAAAATGGCACATCAAAGGCATTCTGAAGCCTAGTTTTATGAAATGAAATTTTGTTTCATTTCCACTGATTTCCTAGGTGAAATTAGGTGACTGTCTGGGTAGCATAATGATGATAATGATGAGAAACCATACGTACTCAAATGACATATGTAAAGCTTTAATAAAGAATGAGAGAGACTCGGGGGAGTGCATTAAATTGAGTAATAATTTATTATTTAGAGACCTCTACCCATTTACTCATTTTTTTTCTGGAAGAATTGGCTGTTCCTCCAAGGTGTGCCATTTTTAGAAAGAAAAAGGTAACTGCATGTGTGTTCTGCATGCTTGTTTTGCAGTTAGGTGATCGCTTATAGTTTGGTGCCCAGAGTAGCCATCCTACCTGTGAACTGTCTAGGATACTGTGAGGAAAACAACAGGGTTGACAGGACTCTGCATGTCCTATAGGAATGCACTGCAATTATTTCCAATCACAATTAACCTGATTAGAATAATGGACAGGAAGTGTCCCTTTGTAGCTAATGCAGTTTGGCATCAGCTGACTGAAATCCTTTAGTAATTTCTGCACAGATGGCTGGGCTGAATGCAGCACTTTTTAAATTATTATTTTCATGGTCTCTTGGTAGGCCAAAACCTCGACACCGACAACAGACCTCCCCATTAAGGTGGACGGCGCCAACGTCAACATCACAGCTGCCATTTATGACGAGATCCAACAGGAGATGAAAAGGGCCAAGGTGTCTCAAGCCCTGTTTGCCAAAGTGGCTGCAAATAAAAGTCAGGTGAGTGGTTTTTTAAAAGAGCAAAAGTGAGGACTGGAATTAGACCATTCTCCTCCTCCCACCAATAAAAATACATCTGTTCCTATAATAATAATAATAATAACAATAATAATCCCTAGGGAACCTATCATGTTCTGCCTTTTGCTCTACGGTTTGCTTTTATTCCCACTGGAGTTCAAAATAGAGACTAGGTTAAAACCCATATTTTTTCTTTTAAAGATTTTTTTTTTTCTAAAAAGCATCAGCCTTGAATGCTTTCTCTCATAATTCTAAGCATTGCTATGTATCCCTTTTCTTTCTTTCTTTCTCTTTTTTCTTTTTTTTTTTGATATTTGAGCAAAACTTAGCATGTACAAAACAGCATCTTCCTGAGACCCAGTTGGAATCTTGTCTCATCCCCTCTCGTATTCCCACCAGGGGAACTGCTGACTTTGTTATAATAACCTCTTTTCTCCAGCCCCAGAGACACCTTGCCATGTCAGGTGTTTCTTTTATGTGTAGAATACAGTTGTTTTTTCCAGGAGAAAACACATGTTGGGGGGGGTCCCCAGAACGAGTGCTAAAATTTATAACAGAAAAACATAGAAGCTTATCCAGTACAATTTCTCAGTGCCGGGATTGTGGGGAATGGAATGCTCCAGGGAAAAGGGTAAGCAGATGCTTAGGTTTTTTATTTCTGAAAGCAGCATAGTTGATGGGATCCACTATCTGTCTCAATTCGTTTAAAGGGATAACTACTACCCTCTCCTAAAATGGGTTAGGTTGAGGTGCTTACTTATTTATCCCTAGGTTGAATAATGATCCAGTGCATGGTGGAGGAAACAAAAGTTAGCTAAAGCATTATTTTGAGAGTCCTTTGATTCTGAGCTTGATTTCCTCTGTGGCCTTGCATGACAAATGTTTTCATCCCACATATGTAAATGGTAAAATGGTCCAGCATCTCCTTAACAGATCTTCTGTTGTGTGCTGAAAAGAAAGGGAGTTACTGAATATTGTATTTCTATTAAGCAGGAAGGTTTTCAATGAAAATTAAATTATCATCTTTAAAATGATAGAGAGCTAAATATTGTATTTAGACTAATTATATTGTTTTGGGATTAGCCTTTTTTACCTATAGTTTTGCAGTAACCTGACTTAAGTTATTTTTCAGATGTTGATAAAGAGAAAGGAGTAGAAGAATATCAAGGAATTTTGAAGAGAATTGAAATACTCATTTTCCTTTTTAATTTCAATGTAGTAATTTTTCCAGGTTATTCTTAGTCTTCGCTCATCAATGAAATCATTGAAATACAGTTTGCTAAGATACGATGTCCAACCGTAGGATGAAATACATGAAAAGAAAACACCATAGAGCCTTCTTAAACTGTTAAATGCATAAAATCCCATGTACCACATGGCAAAATATAATGAGAGTTGGAGCTGTTAAACGAATAAAGCTGTTAAATGCATAATGCCACTTGGCAAAACTACTGTGCATTTAATGGTTTTCCACTGTGTAATAAAGGACATATGTGGTAAATGTGCAGTGAGTATAAAAGCTACACAATTGATTTTGCAAACCTACCCCTTAGTTGTGACTTGACGTAAATATCAAAGTTTCACTCAGTTCTTCTTTCATAAGCAGCTTTGAAGAAAAACTGAAGCCCATAGTCTGAAAGCTTGATTCAAACTGCCTGTAATCTTTCTGTTGACTTGGCACTGTGGCTTTTGGAAATGGTGATGCCTCCAGCCTCCCAAAATAATTCAGGTGGCTGATTGAAAGCTGTATCTGCCAGTTGGCATAAGCTTGGCTCACCCAATTTTTGATCCCCCCTGAAGAACTCAGTAACCCTGATTTTGTGGAATCTGGAGGAAAATGTAGTTCTGGGAATTAATATGTTGAAGGGTGAGATTGAGCCTCTGTGGGGATAAGGTGCTTTAAGGTTTTACCTTTTTTCATTGGGACAGTGACCTCATTCTCATTTATGAATGGGGAGCCTTATTGTAGATAGATAGCTGACTAGATTGGCAAATCAGGTGTTAAGATTTTTAAAAATGGTACCCCCCAGCAAAGTGCACTTACCTGATAGTTTCAAAGGCAACTTAACATATTTACTCCCTTTTGTACGTACAAGCATTTACTTCATAAAGAGCATATTTCGTGAAATTAATTGTACAATTTGGTACCTTGCATATATATTTGGCGTGTATCCATAAGGTGTGTTTCTGTGTGTGTGTGTGTGTGTGTTTCTGTGTGTGACTAATAGTGGAACTTTGGCCAAAGTACTTAGCCTCTCCAAGCTGCAGTGGGAAGTGGCCGCACCCTCTTTATTGGATTGTGAGGACGGAGAATACAAAGATATTCTCTTCCTCTCCTGCATTTCCTTTCTTCCCTCTCTCTGTTTCTTTGGAGGAATCAGAAGTTCTTGGGAGTGAGCAAAACAGCAAGGGCTGTCTCTTCTCTTAGAGGTGAAATTAGAAGAACCTTTAATTAGGAACTCTTGTGATCGGGAGTAGGTTTGGAACCCTGAAGGCCCAGTTCAAATATGCATAGCAACCCCTTCCCTTCCATTTTACATTTCTTTTAAAATAGAAACAAGCCCTCCATTAAACCTCATCCACTCTTTGGTGTGAATTCCTGTCATCAGCTATTAAGAATAATACCTATAACTGTGTTAGGCAAGCTTTGAATGAGAGTTAGAGGAAAAAAGAAAGGAAAATTTTAGAGAGATTATGGTGGTGGGCCAAGATGGTGCCTGAGGGCTCTAAGTGTTTAGGGACACAATGGGAGGAGGGCTTCAGAAAAGGGGTTGCAAGGGTGGCAACCTTGTGCAGTTTTGTCTGTGGTCTCATCGGTGACAATGTATTACTAGAGTGTGTGTGTGTGTGTTTTCTTAATGTGTGGGTTACATCAGGATGCCTTTGTAGGCTTCTTTGTCCAGCTCAGCTCTAGCTCCTTTGTTATGCATGGCCGGTCTATCATCCACTTCCTCTGAATGTCTCCTGTTTGCCCTTGCCTTTCTCTCCCACAAAGAGAAGGAGCCAAAGAAGGGAAAGCGGAAGAAAACAGTAAGAGGAAAAGGTATGGTTGTGCATATAGGTTTATTTCACCTTTAACTTTTCCTTCATTTCAATTTAGGATCTGTGTGTGTGTGTGTATGTGTATGTGTGTGAATTCTGAGGATAATCTTTTTTTTTTCTTTCTTCAGAATATTCAGATTGTTGATGGTGTTCATGGGAGAGTATACACTCTAGTGGGTGATTGTTTTTTTGTGAAATAGGAGACCTTAGTAGGAGGGGTCCTTAGTAGAAGGCATAATTTAAAGTCATACAGGAAATTTTCTGATCACTGCAGTGTGACCCTTACGTGCAAAGGGCTACCAGGGAATGAACGCCCCTGAGTGCAGTCTGAGTGGCTGCAGGAGCTCCTTGTCATCTCCCTGTTGCTCTTACACTCTGTGCGGTGGCTCCCCCCATTCCTCCCCAACTGCAGCTTATCGCACATGATCTGGGAAGTGGAAAGATGAGGAGAGGAGATGCAGTGGCCCGCTGCAACCCTCCAGGGCTGGCCGAGTGCTTTGTGACAGCGTCTTCAGCCACATTTCTTTCCCTTGACACCTACTGCTCCCTTCCCCAGAAATGAATTCACTGTTTCTCCATATACTGACCTCTTCTCCTTTTTATAGTCTGCATTACTTCAGCTCATAGAACGCTGACGGTGATCTAAAGTTGGTGTTCGGTTTTTGTTTTGGGTTTTTGTGTGTGTGTGTTTTGCAAGGAGAGTAAATCTTTATTATTTGTGTACCCAAAGACCCAACGCTACATATGTAACTGCCTTTTCCTACTCTGTTTGGGTGAGAATAGAGTAGGTAGAAAGACTGGAAGGGGCTTATTTCAATTTCTGTTTTCCCTTGTCCCCATTTAAAAAAAATAAAAGCCAACAAACGAACAAAAACTTTAAAAGGGCACTGGGTTTGCTTCCCTCTTTTTTTTGGTGGAGGTGAAGGGGCTTGCTTTCTGCAGGAGGAAAGTAGAGGAAGGCTGGCACACTGCAAAGAGGAGAGATCAATAACCTGGTTGTGAAATCTCAGATGCTGCTGATGACAGGGCCAGCCCCAGAGGAAGTCATCTGGGAATAAACAGGAACCCTGGCTGGGGGGGTGTTGCCTCTCTGGTGAGCATGTCCTTATCCCCACCAAGATTTAAAGACCCTGGAGTTCCCCTCCCTGCCACACACACTTTCCCAGTCCCAGCTAGCACTGGGATCAGGGATAGGAGAGTCCTTATTCTTTCTGCACAAAGAAGTTAGAGAGGGAGTCATCATCATGATCCCCCTGCAGCTGGGGAAGATGAGTCTCTGGCCTCCAGTACACAGTTCTGAAATCCTTTTCCCCATAGAAGCTGTGTTCTCCATGGTGATTGGGTTTCAGTATGTTCTATGAACATCAGTATGTTCTATGAACATCAAGTACATTAGGATTAAGTAGATTTTGTGTACTGACCTTTATTCCTTCCTTATCACTTAAACATTTCTATCCAAAAAAAAAAAAAAGTGTTCCATGTTCCTACTGACTTAATAAATTGTATTCCTAAGTAGAAGGCTACTTATACTTTAGATGTAGATTACAAACTCAGATTTTATGAACTTTCTTCCCTATCATAAAATCTCTCCTTATAGTGGTGTAATTTGCTTAACCGGCTGAATGATTTAAAATATGCAGCTTTTCATGGCAGGTCCTTTTAAAATAACGCAAAAATAAAGGAAAGACACACAACTTTATGTAAAGAAAAATAAGGGATATATTATTTGGTTTGTTCCTTTTATTGCTCTTTGCTGTTGGAGTTTTTATCACATTCAGTATAGGCGCTAACGTGTCCTTCATTTGGTCAGGGGTTACCACATTAATCTTTGCTTTTGTGTCCTTTAAAATGTCCCAGGCACAATTTAGTTGTACATATTTCTTTTATAAAGGAATAACCTCTATTTTATGATTACTTAAATAATAGCACCCTCATTTTTG